GTTGGAGAAGACTCTTGAGAGTCCCTTGGACTGCAAGGAGATCCAACCAGTCCATCCTAAAGGAAATCAGTCCTGAATATTCATTGGAAGGACTGATGTTGAAGCTGAAACTCCAATACTTTGGCCACCTGATGTGAAGAACTGACTCATTTGAAAAGACCCTGATGCTGTTAAAGATTGAAGGCTGGAGGAGAAGGAGACGACAGAGGATAAGATGGTTGGATGGCATCACCGACTCAATGGAATGAGTTTGAGTAGACTCTGGGAGTTGGTGATGGACAGGGAGGCCTGGCATGCTGCAGTTCATGGGTTTGCGAAGAGCTGGACATGACTGAGCGACCTAACTGAACTGAACTGTGTAGGTCCACTTACAGGCAGGTTTTTTTCAGTAGTAAATACTCCAATACCATGTGATTGAGGTTGGTTGAATCTATTGATACAGAGGAACCACATACACAGGCTGTAAGTTATACATGGTGGGTACCCCCTCATCCCTATTGTTCAAGGGTCAGCTGTGCAATGTTTTCATAAAAGTGCACTTTTCAAAAAAAAAGGCAATATAGGAGGAGATCCTCTGAAATCCTATCACCTAGAGACAACCTCAGTGGCCATTCTGAAAACCATTATTTGAGATAGCCTTATCAGAATGATAAGTGGGTCTCCTCTCAAGCCCTTAGGAATTCCTGAAATTCACAGGAACGCACTAGGAAAACCAGTGGATTGGAAGGTAAGACCTTCTTCCACAATCCCTGTGGGGAATGAGGAGAGTGTAAAATAAGACATCAGAAGAGGTAAAACCCTGTTCATGAGGTGACATCAACACAGCGTATTGGTAGAATGGGAGGAGATGGAGAAGGGACAGTTCTGGTGGCTCCTCCAGTGCCCGCCGGAGTGTGGCCTCGGGAAGAGTCCGACCTCACTTCTTCTTCTCCACCCCGCGTCCACTCAGGTGAACCAACCAGGGCCTCCTTACCGGCTGACTTGGGTCTTGTGTGCTGGCCACTGCCTCTGCCTCTCCTGCTTTCCCCACCCCCACAGATATCTGCTTCACCATCTCCTCCCCTTCCGCCAAGTCTCCGCTCCAGTTTAACCCCCTCTTCTCCACCAGACTCCCTGCCACATGTCTAACAACGTCACACACCTTCCCACGTTATTGCATCCATCCT